AACAAAAAAGAGTACTAATGATTAGGAATTTCAATTCCCCGATAGAAATCTCCTCCCCGTCGAAGGATCTCCTATTCCGTTCCTTCCAGAAGCACCACCAAACGCACAAAGGCACTACCTCCAAAAGACACAAGCTTGGGACCCCACTATACACCCTCACAAGCCTCCATCAAACCAAGCGTGGACCGGGGCATAACCGACAGAACTCCAAATAAGGACTAAAGCATCACCCAACTGTCCCTAGCCACAGCGCAATGCAACAATAGTTTTTAAATCTCTGGGAAATAAAAGGTACATCATGAGTCACTATGTCATAACCCGCCTTGTCCCGTGCAGATATTGTCTGTTTTGCACACTCTCCTCTCGGTGCTCACGGTTTTGCTCAAACGCGTCTACATGATTAAGGGGTGTCCACACCTATTCTACCACCCCGGGCGATGTGGGACGTCACAATCATCCCCTCTTGTGACCCAGCATCCTCGTTGGCCCGCATGGGCTTGTGCACGTCCCCACATTTCTGGCTGGGGATTGGCTCTGATAACTTCTGTCACGATGCGCCCCACGCTATGTGAATATTGTCAACTTTACACACTCTCCTCTCGATGCTCACAGTTTTGCTCAAAACGCATCTACATGGTTAAGGGGTGTCCACACATATAAGCCTCAGCAACTTCTCCCCCCTAGGCGATATGGTACGTCACACTATATGTTGTTTGAGCTACATATGGTCTTTATAGACCAAGAAAAAGAATATGATAGGGTATCGAGAGATATAATTCGGTGAGCTTCTCAAAGAAAACAAATCCCTCTCAACATGATAAAGATTATTCAGGATAACTATTTAAATACCGAAACTAAAGTCCGCACTACATGCAATGGGACTAGAGATTTTTCTATAAACACGATGTTGCACCAAGGGTTGTACTAAGTCCATATTTATTCACATTAATTATAGATGAGGTCACAAAAGATTTACAAGAAAATATCCCTTGGTGCATGTTGTTTGTTGATGACATGTGATAAGCGCTGAAAAGTGCGCATTTAAACTCCTTAATCTTAAATGCTCTAGGACCTTATTTTATCTTATCTTCCCGTTTTAGTACTAATTTATGTTTTTGTCTATTTTCAGGTCAATAAGGTTCAAACGGGCTAATTTCGGTCCATTAAGGCCTTTTTGGAGTCAAACTAAGTCTTGGTGAGAAACTGGAGCAAAAGGAGGCTGATGCTAAAAACTGCTTAGTTAGATCGATCACACTGTGAACGATCGAAAACCTGATCGATCACACTGTGAACAATCGAACCCTAAACGATCACACCATACCTCTGATCAATCACACCATACCACTGATCGATCACACTATTGGTTGGATCAATCGAACTGTTCGCAGAAGTTATAAAAAAGTAGATCGAAAGCTCATTTCGAACCAACTCGGGGTGTGCTTGAAAGAGGAGATCCTAGGGCCGAGTTCTCACATTTTTGGGCTCTAAAAGCCTTGTATATAAGAGGGATTGAACCATTTTTGTGGAGAGATTCATATTTTTACATTGTAATTTCTATATTGTTGTAGTTTCTCTCTCTAGAAAGTTAGAGATTAGGGTTAGAAGAAAAGAGGGAAGTGGAGGCACATCTCAAGAACACATCTCTAGATCCACATACTCTCTATCTCTAGAGCTTCAAAGAAGAAGAAGAAGAAGAGGAAGGAGAAGATGGAGCCATATTTGGAGCTTGCCCTTGAGGGTTTCATGACCTCATCCACCTCCTCCATGATTGGCTAGATCTACAATTAGGGCTTGGATGAGCCCTAAGTCTTGTGTAATCTAAACTCTTGTATTTCTATTTTTGGGGAATTATATATATTGTTGTGATTAGTGGTTAGCCTTGTGATTGTTGATTCAATTCTTCCTAGTGATTCTCTATTTTAATTACATGTTGTCTTATGTGTGATTATTTGGGAATTGATCTCTACACTAGATTCTCTATGTTGGTTGCATATCTATGTGTGATTAATTAAGGATTTAGTGATGGCTAAGCATGGTTTTCATTGAATGGGTTTGTAAATTAATTTGATGGATTATGCTTACACTTGATGGGTTGTTCTACAATTTAATTCATGCTTGTAGGTAGGTAGACAATCTATGCTTGGTTTGATACTCCACACTTATTATTGCAAATTCCATGATTCTCTAGATTGATGTGTGCTCTCATTAGATACATTTGTTAACTAATTGATGGATTATACCTTTGTCTTGGTGGGTTGTTCTACACTTAGTTTACTTGTTGTTTAGGTAGACAATTCACTCTTACATTAGATAGTTCACGCTTTTACATGCAAACTGTGTTTATGTTTGTGGCCACATCTTGATTGCAACAATGTATTCCCCATTAATGGAAAGCAAGTGGTTAATTACATGAGCTTAGTGGTAATTCCAACACCCTAAGACCTCTCTTCATATCTCTTAAATCCCTATCTTTCACTATTTTACTTTAATTGCATTTTAATTTAATTGTTTTATAGAGTAATTAATCAACCAAACCCTCCTTTGCAATCTTTTGATACGCTAGAGTCGAAGTTAAATTCCAACACGTATAATCCCTGCGGACAATCCCTACTCGCTATACTTCATTAGTTGTAGTAGTGGTTTTTATAAATGTAAATTTGACTAGAAAGGCTTCCGAAACCACATTCATATGTTGACCTTGCGAAGCAACCTCTCGCATTAAAAAGACCATTTTCTAAACACATAGGAAGGGGCTCGTCAAAATAGTACTATTGGACGCTTCTAAAGAAAACTTAGCAATTAAATTTAAAAGGTGGAGAAATAGAATCAAAAGGATTAAAGGTTAGTGGGACTAAAACTGAATATATGGAATGTATATTTAGTAAAGTAGGGAGGGCAGGGATTCCTCCAATCAGATGGAGATTTCCCATTTTCGGTGTGCCTTGGTGGTGCTTTTAGGTAGTCTCTAGTTGAAAGCTAATGTTTGGAAGAGTGTGTTTCAGTGTGGGAGGTGGCAGGGATTTCTGCATTGGCTGATATTCTAGGGTGTGGAGTTGGGTCTTTCTTATTCAGCATCTGGGCCTGCACTTGGGCTAGACACCAAGGAGAGTGCGTGTATGGGATCCAATGATGGAGAGGTTTAAGAGGCTCGTGGTCTAGAAGAAGCAATCTCTCTCGAATGGGGGGCAGGTCAGTTTGATGAAGAGCACATTATCGAGCCTTCCTACTTTCTATCACTCTTCCAAATTCCTTCTTCAATGGTCAAGAGGATTGAAAGGCTCTTGCAGAACTTTCTTTGGGATGGTATTGATAGGAGTTCAAGTATCATGTTATGAGTTGGGAGCAGGTTTGTCGATCGATCAGGGTGGGAAGCCTGGGGATTAGGATATTAGTGCCTCTCAGTAAGGCTCTCCTGGGTAAGTAATTGTGAAGATTTGGCGTGGAGAGACAGCCTTTGGAGAAGGGTTATTTCCTCCAGATTTGAGAAGGTTAGGGGCGGCTCATGTTCTCTTAAGGTGAGGATACCAGGAGGGGTGGGTGTTTGAAAATTCGTCAGGAAGGGGTGTGATGAATTCTCTAAACACATCCGATTCAAGGCTAAGAGACATTTGATTTTGGGAGAACATTTGGTGCTGGAATAGGGCGCTGACATGATCGCTCCCCAGATTATTCTGGATATCTATGGAGAGACATGCCTTCGTCACTGATTGTTATCCGGAGCTTGACTTGGGATGTTCAGTTTGAGAGGCATTTCCAGGACCGGAAGATGGAGGACGTATTTGAGATCTTGGCATTTTGTACCGGTAGGAGGTGGATAGGAGAGAGGCGACCTCCTGGGTTTGAACGGTTTCAGCGCAAAGGAGGTTTGATGTTCACTGCTTCTATGGGAGCCTTTTGGATTCTTCTGGAATTGTGTTCCCTTGAAAGGCTATTTGGGCACAAAAGCCCCTCTTAGTGTCTGTTTGGAGTCCTTTGGGTCATGTATTGCTTTCGAGAGGAATGATTGAGGTTTGGAGAGATTGTTCAATGAGCTCCCAAGCTCATGATTTTGGAGGGTGGCCCCCTTGTGTGTGTGGTGCTGTTTATGGAAGGAACAGAAAAGGAGGTCCTTCGATGGTGAGAAGACTCCTATTGGGGCGCTAAAATTCTCTATTATTAGTTCTCTTTTTTGTTGGGTCTTTGGGAGAAACTGTAAGTCAAATGGAAGAGAGTTGATTTTTGGACATATTGAGAATTTAGGGGACCTATTGGTCCTAGTGTAGCTTTTCTGGGATGTGTTCCCCGTTTGAATGCTTCTACCGATACTTATTAAAAAAAGAAATTTAGTAAAGAGTCAGATATTAATGATGTAATGGTTACATTTAAAAAACAAAGGATTATCCAAAGTGAACACCATCGATATTTAGGGTCTAATATAAAAGGATGGTGCAATAGATGGTGATATAATTAGTAGAATTGACACAAGTTGGACAAAACTGAGGCAATGTGACAAATGAATACCATATAAACTAAAAGGATAATTTTATACAACAGTTATTAGGCCAACTATTTTATATGGCTTTGAGTATTATGCATTAAAAAATAAGCAAGAATAATGAATTATAGCAGAAATGAGGATGTTAAGATGAATTATTTTCATAATGAATTATGCTAAGAATGATGTTTAGGAGGCCTTTTTATAAAATCTGGGGACTTTCTATAAAATCTTACTTATCAAAAAAAAAAAAAGAAGAAGAAATCGCATCAACCAATCAATAGAGATTAGCTATGTTTGATCCCTGGGTTTAGTGAATGAAAGTTATTTTTAAAAAATTAATAATAAATCGTCATATGTAATGAAATTAAAACTTTTACATTTTCATAACTATCGAGGCAAAAGGAAAAGAAAATAGCATGAAAAATTAAGAAACTTCCCCTGTTGATTTTCTTTGCATTGTTTTTTCCCCACTAATCCTACAAAAAAGAATTTCAACAAAAGAAGAAGAGAGGAGAGTTTTGACCTCGAGTACACCAACGACTGTTCTGCAATTAGGTTGCTGCTGTGCCCCAAAAAATCGAGTCCCAATGTATTCGATTGCCACCAAATATCTCTGAATCCTAGGGTTTTGGTTCATGCTTTTCGACTGCTTTTCTTCTTCTGCGTGTTCCTCCTCCTCCTCTACTTTTGCGACCTTTGATGGACGTTCAGGAGATACAGGCCGTTGATCAAGCGAGTGTTTGGGGTTTGCAGAGATCGACGGCGATTGTTTGTTGTCTGTCATTTGGTCCAACCAGATTTCCCGCCTCCAACTACTGGATTCAATTCAATTATAATTAGGGTTTTTTCTTGCTCCGAACGTTAGAAACAATGGGTTTTAGGGTTTAGGCACTGTATGGATTACAGGGATATCTTGTCCAGGGTCCGGACAGGTTCATACTAGGCCAGTGTATCTTCGTAAACAGCCAATCAGACCGATAATTGGGTTGATTTCTAGACTCCAACTGATTTCATGCTGGTAACTCTTATCCATAAAATATATATATATATATATATATAAATTAAGGATCTTTGTTGTTTGGATGTAAAATATTTTTTTAAAAAAAATATTTTTTTTTATATTTATTTTGTCAGTGTTTGACAAAGGTTTACGTCAAGATTGAGGTCGAATTCATCTAGCCGACATGTAAAATAACTTGTCAAAAATTTATGAATATATTATTTTTGTTAAATTTTAATATTTTTTTTCTTATTAAATATTTTACGACAACCAAATATTAGAAAATTAAAAAATATTTTTTAAAAAATATTTTACGTCCAAACAAACGGAACCTAAATGTAAATATATTAAAATAAATTGTAAACAAAATTTTCAAGGAAATTCATTTTCCAAATGATTGATATATTTTATAAGTCAAGATATCATAACACTTTTAAAAAATAAAAAGTTTGCATAGAATTGCACTATTTTTAAAAAATAAAAAATAAAAAAAAATTACCTCATCTTAATAATGTTTATAAACAAAACTCTTGTAAAATCATGTGGGTCAATCCCTACTCTCGAATTGGCCTCATGTTGGTTACTCTTACACAAAAAAAATAAAATAAATACATGTAAATATACTAAAATAAATTATAAACAAAATTTTCAGGAAATTTATTTTCCAAATTATTGATATACAAAATAAATTAAGATATCCTAATGTAACTACCCGCCCATGTCGTTTAAACAAAATAAATCAAAATAAATAGGAGAGCTATTGGGAAGTACTCGTCATTATTCTTACCACGTATAGTCTATGACTCTATCTAAACAATTTGACTTTCATCTCGTTCGAACTCCTACAAGATTCAAAGTCCCATATATAAGTCGCTTCCTTTTTCCTTTTTCTAATTGAAAGGTTAGTTAAACAATAATGCTACATTTGGTGAGCATGAATGGAATGGAATCCAAGTGAGAATGGAAAAAGAATGGGAATGGAATGGAATGGTCATTCTCATTCTATTATTTGGTTGTAAATATGAAATGTGTAGGAATGGAATGATAATAACCATTCTAGTGTTTGGTTGGACCAATTTAAAATTTAGAATGGAATAAATTTCTAATTGAATTCTCCAAAATATCCATATTAGTAACAAATAAATTAAATTAAATTAACAAAATGATATTCACTAATAAATTTTTAAAAATAAATGGTGGCAGTGGCGGTGATGGATGGTGGAAAGCGGTAATAGTGTAGGTGGTGGTGTTGGAAGGCGGCGGTGGTGGCAATGGTGGAAATTGGTGGCAGCAGTGTTGGTGGAAGGTGGCAATGGTGTTGGTGGAAGGTAGTGGTAGTAGTGTGGTGGTTCTGGTGGAAGGAGATAATGGTGTGACTGTGGTAGTGGTGGAAGGCAGTGATGGTGGTGGTGGAAGGTGGTGATGATGGTGGTGGTGGTGGAAGGCGGCGGCGGCGGTGGTGGCGGTGGTGGTGAAAGGTGGTGGTGATGGTGGTGGTGATGGAAGGTGGTAAAAGACGATGGCGGTGGTGGAAGGCGATGACGGCATTGTTGGTGGTTGTGGAAGGCGGCGGCCGCGGTGGTGGTGGTGAAAGGTGGCTGTGGATGTGGTGGAAGGCGGCGGCGGCGGCAGTGGTGGTGAGTTATGGCGGTGGCGGTGGCGGTGGCGGTGGTGGAAGGTGGTGGTGGTAGTGAAAGGCAGTAGCAGTGGTGGTGGTGGAAAGCGGTGGCAGTTGTAAGTGGTGAAAGGCAATGGCAATTGTGATGGTGGAAGGTGGTAGTGGTAACAATGGTGAAAGGCAGTGGTGGTGAAAGGTGGCGGTGGTGGTTGCAGCAAACAGTGGCGGTAACGGTGGTGAAAGGCGGTGGCGGTAGCGGTGGTGATGGAAAGTTGTGGCAGTGGTGAAAGGCAATGGCGGCGGTGGTGGTGGAAAGTGGTGGGCGATGGTGAAAGTCGGCGGCGGTAAAGGTGGCTGTGGCGGTGGTGGAAGGCGGCAGCGATGGCGGTGGAAAGTGGTGGGCGATGGTGATGGTGGTGGTGGAAGGCAGTGGTAGTGGTGGTGGTGGTGAAAGGCGAAGATGATTGTGGTGGAAGTTAATGGTAGTTTTTGGACTTGGAATATGAGGGTGTTTTGGGAAGTCAATTTTTTAAAATAAATTACTTGGGAATGGAATGGCCATTCCATAGGTTTAGTTGTGGAATGGATTTTCATTCCAATAGAATGGCCATTCCCACTTTAAGTTGTATATCAAACAAAGGAATGGTTGGAATGGGCATTCCATTCCATTCCATTCCTCTACACCAAACATAGCATAAGAGAGGAACAACAATACATGCATAAACCACTAATTCAATAATATATTAATGTAAGACCAATTAAAAAATATCACTAAAAATGATAAGGGTCAATTATGAGAGCTTGGATCCTCTCCCTAGCGTAAAAAGAGTAGAGGTAAATAACTAAAACCGTATATCTTATTTACTTTTTGTATACTGAATGTATGTGTGTATATAATATATAATTGATTATTTTAAGAGGTGTGCCACTGTCCTTTCACAGTCGCTGTGAGGAATAGTTAAGTATACAAAATTGAAAAAACATATATAGATTATGAGATTTTAAAAAAATACAAAATTAGTTATATATATATATATATACACACACACATATATAGAGTCCTAAATGCTTGCTCCCCATGAAGCAAAAAAATTAATCCACACTTTCTATATAGACCGTTAGATCTAACGGTCATTTTTCAAACCCACCTTTGACCTTTCCTTTTAACATAAAACCACTCTCAGCCTATTTTTAGTTTCTATATTTAATTTTACCATTACCACTTATGTAACAATAAAAGGTAATTATCAATTCTTTCTCAATTTCTTCGTGGGTTGAATTGGAATCCATGAACATAAGTATGGACAAATGATTACTCTCCATGGATAAGGTTGTGAGAAAAACTTCACCCATTTTTTTTGGGTTACCTTGTTGTTTTTGAAGTGGATTATATAGTCTCACCATAGTCAGTACATCATCATCATCCAATAATCAAACTCACAAATTGTAATACCCCTACTTTTCAAAAAGATAAAATGGGAATTAAATTTTCAATATTAATTTGTATTTAAATTTTTTTTTTAATTATTAGACTTATTTGTTTAAATTAATTGTTTTATTTGCCAAATTGATTTATTATTATTTGTGTGTATTTAATTGAATTGCTGAATTGAGATTGTTTTAATTTAATTATTTGATAGATTGTTTTAATTATATTATTTGAATTTATTTAAATTAATTGCCTTAGTAATATGTAACTGGTTGACTGTTTATAATTATTTAAATTGTTTTAAATTATTGGATCTTAAGTTAGGGTTGTGGATTTTACGTATTGCCGACTTTGCATTAGTCGGTTCTTTTCCGGAGTGTATTAGGATTAGGGTTATAGATTTACTGAGTCTATAAATATGTTGTTACATTAGGCTTAGAGTTTTGAAAGAAATACAACCTTAGTCTGTTCACATAAAAACAGACTGTTCACCTAAAACAGAGTCAAGGAGGGGAGTTTGGTGTATGCTACTGGGTTGAACTAGGAGCAGCAGAGGTCGTTTAATACAACCGACGTTGCCCGAGTTGATAGAGACGACAGTTAGAGATTTTAATCTAAAGTCTCAAAGGCAAGTATTTGTTCTTCTCTTTCCCTTAAACTTGTGATCTGTGCATACTTAGATGGACTCCAGGAGTTTAAATAAATGCCTAAACAAACGTTTATGTATGCTTGACTGATAATTAGACTCGTTGAATGAAGCTGTTTCACAAAATTCTTAAAGTCTCTATTTGTTTGGTTCTTTTTGTTTATGCATTTAAGCTTTGCTATTTGAGATTAATGATGCATATGGATGGCTTGTAGTTAGTCTGGAAGGTTAATTGGATGTTAGAACAAGAATTTATTATAGTGCAGAGGGCTGGAACATCACCGGAGTTGAAGGAGACGAAGCTGAAACAGACGAGGGCTGCTAAGGGAAGGGAGAGCAGTCTCCCAAAACCTTAGAGCAGGCTCACAAAGAGGGGGAGCTGGCTCTAGAAGCATTGGAGCCAGCTCTTAGGGACCTAGAGCCTGCTCTAGGTCATTTAGAGCAGGCTCCCAATTTTAGGAGAGCCTGCTCTCTCCTTAGGCTGCAACAGATTTGATTTTAGGGACTGTTTGGCTATACAGGGTATTTGCACTTCGTTTAACTTGTTTTAAATGATGCTTAGGACTGTAACAGACCTGTATTATGATGAAAAAACACTAATTCATAATTGGATTAGGGAATGGAGCAAGTTGCAGTTAAGGAACAATAGTAGAACGCACACTGTTTTGGTTATTTAAATTGTTTACTGAAACTTGAAATGGAGAAGGCTCTTTTATTTCAGAGCCTTCTCTTTCTCTTGTTAAGAAGTAAAACTGATACTTAGGGTCCGTTTGGCTAAACTGGGGTTTGTCTAAGGTTGTCTGGATGCTACTAAAAAGTGTATATCATTGCTAAAGACTTATAAAAATATTAGGAAGCATGGTTATATTCAGACATTGCAGATAGAAGTAACCTAAGGTTAAAAGTGAACTTGTATGAGGATGGTTGGATTATAAGCTTGTAATTGCTTATTGTTTTAGGAATTTAACTTATCTGCATGAACTGGAACGGTTAATTATATTCTCATCTGTGTTATAAGCATGTAATGGTTTAAATGCATGTATGCTTAGATGTAAGTAATTGAGGTTTAAATCTGCTGTATTTTGTATCAGTTAAAGTACTGTTTGGAGGAGTTAATTTCTTAATCATATTTTACAAATTTAAAGGACTGGAATAGGATGTTTAAATCTTGTATTGGATGCATAACTTGGTTATATACATGTTACACTGTATTTATGCTTGTTTTGGAAGGTGGTTGATAGATAGTTATACTGTTTTTGTTAACTGTGTTAGCTGGAGGATAGTATGCACCGGTATGGGACGGTGGCAT